TAGTTCCTCACAGAGGTCAGGGAGCGTATTTCAGAAGATGACCATATAAAAGAGAGCGAAAGAGAGAGAGAGGAAGTTTTAAAAACTTGTGAAAGAGAATCTAGAACGATGGTGACGGAGAAAAACAAAATAAAAATGAAAGACGGACGAAAGGATAAATTTTAAAAAAAAAGAACAGAGACGCGGCGGCCTCTTGAAGGCTGGCTGGCTGTTAATAATTTCTTAACGTGAGGCTGCACGACATGCTCTCAGATAGTTCCCGCGGCAACAGGTCATCATCTCCTTGGTGACTATCCAGACCGTCCAAGCGCCTTCTCTTCCAGCGCGCGTTATCCTTTTTTTCGTTCGGAATTCCCACGCGCGTTTTTTTGTGCGCGTCGCTCTGTTGCGCGCAACGCCCGACTGCAAACCCCCCCCCCGTTCATAATTGATTTTGGAAAAGACCCCATCGCACCCCTTCAAGCGCCAAGAAAGAAAGAGCCGAGCGAAGAGCAAGCCCAGCGGCGGGGCAACCACTCACCTCTCTCGGGCGAAGCGGGTCCCAGGGCCGCCTGGAGAGAGAGGAAAACCAGCAGGCTTCGGGCACTCATAGCAATCTTCGTCTCCAGCCCGGCGGCGGCTACCTTAAGCCCAAAACCTCGAAGCGGGTGGGAAGGCAGAGTGGCCGCCTGGCAGCCAGCATGGTCAAAACCCTCTCTGGCAAAGTGGGGGGGGAGCCCAGTCCTATGGGGCCGATGCCACCCCCTGCCTTGGAGCGCAGACGCGCACCACCACCCCCCCCTCTGAGTTTTGCGCAAGGCGGAGAAGGAACGGTTTCCGCCCTGCGCCTTTACGCCCTTGTGAAATCGCTTTAAGTCACAGCGTCTCTCGCTCTCTCTGTGTGTGTCTTTTTGCCTTATTTTTTTTTCCATCTCGTAAATCTTTCTGACAGCCGTGGCTACAGAAACAGGACTCCCCCCCCCCCTTTCCTCCTGCTGACTCTCCAAACTTCGGCTCGCCTGGGGAATGGCGAAGCTGGAGGACGGGCCGGCCCTCGATCAAGCTGCGAGGGTGGCCAACTTTATTCTTTTCTTAAATTTTTAAAAGCCCCCCCCACAGCTCCTGCGCTGGCCGGAGAGCAGCCAGCTTCTCCTCTACTCCCCCAGGCTGGGGGGCGAAAAAAGTAGGGCTGGCTGGTTTCTGGAGGTCCAGCCCCAGGTGGTGCAGGTTTTAGGGGGCAGAATTGGGGGGGGGGAGAATCTCAGCCCCAAAATGGATCTAGGGGTATAAATGTCACTCGTGTCCCCTAAAAGCATCTCCAAGTCTGGAACGACCTAAGCCACAATGGAACTAAGTTGGCAGCCGTTGCTGCTTTGAAAAACATAGCGGGTCATTTTTGCTTCCAAGNGGGGGGGGGGGGGATATTGCAGGCCAGAGGTTGCCAACATTTCCCCGTGGCCAAGCTCCTGTGCCATTCTCTTCGTTCTGAGTCACGGATACTCAGCAGGTGAACCTTTTTCTGGCACGGTGTTGCAGGAAAAGCGTCTACTAGCTGGATGCCGGCCTTACGGTCATCTCAGCTGCCTTGGAAACTTCTGCGGAAAATTTCCCTGGTCCTAAAGCACAGGTGCCCTAAGAGGGGAAAAGTTGGTGACGCATCAGTGAATCTATATAGCTATGGAAAGGGAAGTCTTTTGCCCATTTTTCTCCACTCAGAATCCAGATCTGACTGTTTATACTTCTCTTCCACCACCCAAAAATACATCATCAACACCATAACTTCCTTTTTTAAAAATACTGTAACAAGAAATTCAGGCTGAATCTTTCCATCTCTGACGCTTATTATTTCATGTTCCTTCCTCTCCCCCAAGGGAATCCAATTAAAAGACACTTCTTTCACAGCCCACGCAGATCTTTCCCAGACGCCGTGAATTTTGCCTTCCATCCACCTCTCCTCCCTTTATAAAATATTTCGATGCCTTAGCAACCAATTTTTACTCCCGCACATACGGTACACATAGAGGCACACAGAGAGAAGCTTCTGTGCTCCCCCATCCAGATTTCGTGAGGCCCACAGTCCACTTTTTTTCTCCTTCAGGTGCTTTGGACTTTAACATTTGCTTTTAATTTATTTTATTCTAGCAGCTTCGGAAAGAGAAATCTAGATTCCAAAGTGCACGTGGATCTGTTAAACATTACAGCCTCTTGGGACCGGGTCTCCGTTTGCTTGTTATGTTTTTTGTCCCTGCCGTGATATGGCCTAGACTGGTATGGAAAATATTCCCTTACAATGGTGTTAATCCATCCCTGAAAATAGACGTCCAGTCGGATTCAAACCCGGAGCGGATTTTGGATTCACCCATTCTTTAGGTGATGGTGAGGGGATGCAGCCATCTCACATTATGTCTTCCTCTTTTCCTGCTGCCTTTCACCTTCATTCTTGTCGCCATGGCCAACCGGGATTTGAACCCTGGCTTCCGTACGTCACCAGGGGGTGCTTCCCTGCCCAACCCTTCCCGGTAGAGCAAGTCTGGTGCGGTGGCTAGCATCTCAAAAAAAAGAAGAAGAAGAATTCACTCGCCATGAAATTTATTAGGTGACTTTAGGCAGGTCGTTCTCATCTCGCTTGGCCTACCTTATAGGGCTGTTCAGGAGGATCAAGTGAGGAGAGGCACACAACCTTGAGCCAACTGGGAGAAGGGTGTTGTGAAAATGTCATGAATGACTAAAGCCTATGTCTGCTAATTCTTGCGATGGTGGTGCGTAATGACTCACTAGACAAATAATTCTCAGGAAATGATAACGGAGAAGTGAAACATTTCATCGGGGGGCATTTCTGACAGACGCTGTTGTCCCCATCTAGGGTGGCGGTGGTCTAGTCCGGCCTGATCATCACTCCCCTGCCACTCCTTTCACGAGAAGTCCCGTAAACAAGGCAACCTGATCCTCGAAGCTCCTCTACCTTGGCTGGGTCACCACCACCCTGTAAGGTGACACCCAGGGTTTGTGGACATGGCGATCCATTGACTCACACCTTACTCTGGGGCTGACTCACCAGTACTATTTGTGACTCCTCACACATAACTCCTGCCGTCCATCCAAATCCCGGCCTGCCCCCAACCTGAAACCTGGCTGGTTTACTGAGATTTGACCCTTGCATATATTTTTTTTTCTTCAAGGAAGTCCTGACTTGTGAATCATGAACTCGATTCTAACCGTCTGCTGTGGAAAGCAGTTACGTTTGTCCGTTGGTTGTTTGAGCTGTTCAACTGTAAGTAATGACAGCTTTTATTCTTTCTCTTACTCCTGTCTCCTATGGAGACTGTAGGTGCCAGTTGATGAGAAAATGGTGGACCAATCCGGGGGGGTGGGGGACAAAGCTATTCTGCTCTGTGAATCCCCTGCAGGTTGGCAGCGCAGCTAGAGGAACCGAATCGAAAACCCAAAACTCTGCAAGAGTTCAAACCCTCACGCTTGAAATTAGAAGGGTCACAATCCAGTGGTGCCACCATTCCGGCTACTGCTTTGTCCTTCAACCAGAGGTGTTTTTTTTAAATAGCTGAAAATTGTGAGGAGATGGTTAAAAAATAGTTATTTTTTGACTACGGGTTCCAGGACCTCCCAGCCCACGTGGGCCCCACCGGCGAGGGGATTTGGGGATTTGTAGTTGAAAACAGCCGTGCGTTTCAAAAGCTGGGAAAAGAGAGAATGAATCCGGGGTTGTTTTAGGTGGCTGGTTTCCCACTTCTGATGCCCCTCAAGTGACTCACAGAGCCCAAGAGTGTTAACGCAGGAGTGCGCTGCCTGCTCCGACTTGCGGGTGGTAGCGCCACCGGATCGCTTTGGATCAGTGCCACTGTCACTTGAGGGAGCCTGAGGGCAACCGTCTTGTCAGCCTCTACCAATAACTCCGGAAAGAGTCAAACTTAAAGTGACTTTTTTCCGACGAGCAATGGCGTTGAAAAGCACTGGGGAAAAAAAAGAGAGAAGAAAGTTCGTTCCAGTTTTAGAATCACGAGGCAATGATAAAGTGCTTGAACTGGGAAGGAGGGAAAGACAGCATGAAAAAGAGGGAGAAACAGACGGACGAAGGAGAAACTGAGGCTGCCCTGATTTGGGCGCATCAGGAGAAGGCAGGATTCCCTGGAAAAGACAATAATGCTAGGAAAGGTTGAAGGCAGCAGGAAAAGAGGAAGACCAGATGTGAGATGGACGGTCTCCCTAAAGGAAGCCACAGGCTTGAGATTGCAAGAGCTGAGCAGGGTTCATTGTGAATGAATTCGAACCCTGGACTGGATGGGTGCATCCGTTCATTTGGGCTTCTCCCTCACTTCCCCCCCTCCTCCCAAGTGGAAAGAAATTTGGGGATGTAAGGTAAATCCTGAGCAGAAACGAAGAAAATGAAATTTTCATCCCTGGGGGAGTGGGGAGGGAAGGAGGGTGAGATTTGAAAACGGATCTGGACAGTTTGATGACCCTGCGGCTGCGGAGGGTTAATTTTGCGGCTTGCGCGTAGGTGGGTGGATGAGAAAAATGTATATATCAACCCCACCCCCACCCCCAGTCTTTATACTTTTCTACTGGGATGGCGTGGCTCAGTCATTTCGGCAAAATATACTGAATCCATTTGCTGGAAGGAGCTGCGGGCCAGAGCAGCAGCCAAGAAGGGAGGAAAATTCATAATATATGGCTGTACACACGCAGGCCATGTATATACGTGCCCGGATCTGGATTTTCCATTATATAATAACGTTACGATCGTCTTCCCCCACCTCCGTTTTCGTCACTGAAAGGCTGCATCGTTCTCGTTTAAAATAAGACATAAATTTTGGCAGCTTGAGGTGGAAACTGGCTTTCGGGCTAATGAAACAGGGGTTGGTGATAGTTTGGATTTGACAGGTTTGCTTCCCCTTCCCCCCCCCTCCGCAAGATTAGGAGATAATGAGAAGAGGATGGGAGAAATAAATCTCAGAGCCTTTTCTGTCCAAACTCGAAAAGAGGAGGCCGAATTGGAGGAAATTTGCACAGGGAAAGAAAGCTGACAGGGGTTAAAAGATGATTTGTTTGAAATGTGGTGGAGAGTTTTGCTGGTGGGAAACCTGGGCCTGTCAGAAAGACGAACAAGGGGGTCCTAGATCAGATCAAGCTGGAACTATCTCTGAAGGCGGTCATGTTGAAGCTGGGGCTGTCCTGCTTTGGGCACCTCAGGAGAAGGTGAGATTCTCTTTAAAAAAGACAATAATGTTGGTAAAGGTTGAAGGCAGCAGGAAAAGAGGAAGGCCCCACTATGAGATGGACGGGCTCTGTAAAGGAAGCCATGGGGCTGTAGTTTGCAACAGTTGAGCAGGGCTGTTGAAGACGGGACACAGGGGAGACAGAGGCAATTTGACAGCACACAGCAACAACAACATCAAAATGAACCACAACCACCACCACAACGGGAGTTGGGTGAAAATCTTGGCCAATCCGCTTCCTTGATCTGACCATATCCTCTTTATTATAGGATAATTGAGAAAGAGCTAGCACTGAGGGGAAATATGCAGAGCCAGAGGTTGCGAGTTCGATTCCCGCCTGGGCCTCCTTGACAGGGGCTGGACTGGATGATCCCTCAGGTCCCTTTTATCTCTCCAGTTCTAAGAGGACGACGGTGAAAATGTTTGAAATTCGCACAAGTGCAAAAAAAAGAGTGTAATTTTAACGTTTTATTCTGCTAACCCCCTTGGGCTTTGTTTGCAAACCTGGAATAAGAAATGTTTAAACAGAGGAATTGTATATTTAACGACTTCTCGGGCAACTGGTAATTTTCTTTCAAGGGCTAAGTGCATCCCAAACCAGCAATATCTTCCTTAGAAGTGCCTTCATCCTTCTGACACTTTCAAAACACAATATTGACAAGGGATTTGC